GGACGACGTCATCGACACCAACAACTAAAGCTGCAACGATTAGTCCATTAGTTTTTTACTTTTTAAATTAATTTCCAACTATTTTGATAATATATTAACCAAGTTGAGCCATTTTTGAAAAGAAAAAAGTCTAAATTCTCCGTCTGTAGCCTCTTAAACATGAATATTTTCTGGTTTCTTTCTTTATGACAGTAAACTGAATAAACAAGACTTTTACTGTCATTTTTCTGGCAACTAATCGATTAACGGAGACAATAACTGACAGATTAAACGACATTTAAATGCCTCAGACATCCTCTGAAGTCTTGTTTTGTGTGAATAAACAGTCAAACGTTTAAATATTTCTGGTTAAAATTAATAAATCTTCTCATTTTAGAGGCTGCAGCTACAACATTTTGGACGTTTCTCCACTTGCAGCTTCTTACACGTGAACATTTTCTGGTTTCTTTCCTTCTCTGTGACATTAAACATAAACACTGATGGACTTTTTTCACCATTTTCTGACATTTTATCGACTCAACGACGAACAGATCACCTAGAAAATCATCAACAGTGTTGTTATTACTGCTGCAGCCACAACTTTTGGTCAAAAAACTGTTTAAAATGCTGATTGAACATCCTCTGAAGTCTTGTTTTGTGTAAAGAAACAGTCAAAATTCTCATTATTTCTGTTTAAACTGATATAATGCAGAGAAAAGCAGCACATTTACTCATTTTAGAGGCTGAAACTAGAACATTTTGGACACTTTTTTTTTTTACTATTTTCAGATATTTTATGGACCAAACAACTGAAATATTAATCCAGGAAACAACCAACAGTGTTATTTTTACTGTCACAGTCATAACTTTTGGTCAACAAACTGTTTAAAAAGCTTAAAGAAACAGACAAAATCCTACTTATCTCTGTTTAAACTGATATAATACAGAGAAAAAAATCACATTTTGTCATTTTACAGGCAGCAGCTGCAACATTTTGGACATTTTTTCACTATTTACAGCCTAAACATGCTGATGTTGGTTTGAAACGTGGCTCACAGCTCGACGGCGTTTACGAGCTTTTAACGAGCTCAGATCAAAGTCTCAGTTATTCTCATGTGCAGTAACTTGGCCGTACGTTATTGATCTCTCCATTAAACCAGGAAACGACGACGTCCTGAACGCAGCTCAGTCTTCGCCGCTCCGATCGGCCGACGTCCAAACGTCCTCGGAGGCGGCGTGTTGATAAAACAAAAGCTGAGCTTTGTGCTAAATGTCACAAGTGTTGATAATAACAGACGGGAAATAAAGGCTTTTATTATTCAGACGAATTATTGCCATTGATTACGGCGGCCGCGGCTCCTGCTGTGGTTAATGATTAGACCCAGAGTGGAGATTAAACCCTCCAGGAATCAGGTTCATCACAACAGAGCCATCAGTTAATCCACAGAACAGGAAACCGACCTGCAGCTCTTCTGATTGTTCACTCATTAGTCGTGGTTTTGTGTCAGAAATAATAAAAGTGCAGATTAAAGGCTTCAGATTTGAAGCTTTTTACTGATTTATACGCTATTAAAATACATTTTAAAAAAAATTAAAATCTACAAGCAAAGGTGCCAGAATCGTTGTTATACTGTAAAAAAATCTGTGAATAGTAATAACGACATTTAACAGTCAACATGTACATTCATAACTTTGTGTTCTGTGATTTTACTTGATTTTATCTATAATTTACCAAATAGTTTAAAAACTAAATATTTATTATTTAAAATTTAGTATCTGTAAAAAGGATTTTATTGTTTTGAATACATTAAAAAAAAAAAAAAAAGTAATTTTAGGCAAAAAAAATTAATTAACTTGCAAAATACACATTTTGTTACGTAGGCTACACATTATGCAGAGTTTTGGCCAGACCGCTTTATTTTTTTTTGTTTTTTTAATAACTGATAAATAAAATATTTCACATTTTTTTATCCTTAATATAAATAATTTGTCTTTTAAATAACAACAAATGTTTGTAAATAAAAGGTAGACTTTTTTTAAATGTGAAATGTTGTAAAAATATGAATTATCGTTTGTAAAATACAGATTTTTACGTCCACATTATGAATAGTTTGGGCCTGTTTTTTAAGGGTTAATATACTGAAAAAATGATTTACTATTATTTTAATTCTTAATGTACATAAATTGTCTTTTAAATAACCGCAAATATTTGCAAAATAAAAGAATATAAATATAATATTTTTTTAAAAACTGTAAAATTGTGGAATTTTACAGTCAAACATTATAAAAATATGAAATAAAATTTGCAAACATTCACAGTTTTGGCTTTTTTTTTTATAGAGTTTACATGTTTTTACTTTTCATTTTCTGTAATTTAACAAAACGGGAAAAAATCTGTAAAATGACAGTAAATTACCCCAAAAATTACAATGAATTATGGAAATTTTTTTAATCAGTTAAAGACACTAAAGTGAATCTTTTGGGACTGTTTGTTGGTCCAGACCAGATGTTTGAAGCTTTCACTGCTTCACAGATTACATAACGACATGAGTTCATGTTGAAGTCACTTCTTCTTCTTCTTCTTCTTCTTCTTCTTCTTCTTCTTCTTCTTCTTCTTCTTCTCTGTTTGCTCGTCGGGTTAATAAACTCGTCTGATGACTTCTGATCATAAATTCCTGCTGTTCTGCTTGAGACGGAAAACAGATTCTTATTCTGGACTTTTTATACGACTTCACTTTATCTGATGTTGAAAAGCTGCAGCGAACGGGTTTTTCCACATTAAAAAAAAAGCACTTTTAGTTTATGTTTACTTTTTGTTTTGCTGTTTTTCATCTGAGATACAAGAAATGTGCAGATTAAACTCCTAATCGCTGTAAATGACCAGTTTGACGTCGTTTCTCAGAGTTTAGGTGTCTGTCTGGTGAAGTTTACGTTTGTTTTGGATGATTTCACTTCTGGATTTATATGAAAACTGCAAATTGTCAAATTCAAGACGCTATAAAACATCATATGTTTGACATTTAAAGATCAGGTCCCGTAAATGTGAAATAAGTTAACTTGTTCTGCCGCAATACAATAAAAAAACGACCTCAGATTTTTATCATTTTCCATTTTTTAACAAACCTGTGAGACAGAAAATCCTTTATTCTGATTTAATTCTTCTCCAACACGCTGAGTTTTGGGTTTTAACTGTATCTAAAAGCCACACAGAGTTCGTTAAACTGCTGATCCACGTGTGAACAGCAGAGAAACGACGGAAATTAGGATTTGGTTGCACAAAAACGTCGACCATATGGAAATATTTTATCAGTTGCACAAGATAAACAGATTGTTGGTGCGTCTACATCAGCAGCACAAAGTTCTGTACGACGATCTGAACATCATCTGAAGCATAAAGACGAGTTCAGGAGTGTATTTTTCTATCATATATCTGAGAAGCAGATGTTTGTGACGACACACAGGCCTGTTCTACCAGCTGATCAGTACATCCTGATGGAATAATAATGATCATTGAAGGGACCAGTTCCCAGCGCTTAACGAACTGCACGTTTAAAAGATTTTAAACATGTAATCCACGGCCATGATGCCGACGAGTTGACGTGATCGTGTCGGTTATTAACAGCAAAGATCAGCTGAGTGTTGATCAGAGGGAATAAAACCATCAGCAGCAGCAGCAGCAGGTCAGAGGGAAGCTTCAGGTGTCAAACGTGAGCATTTAAATGTTTTTTATTGTCATTTTGAAAACTATTCACTGTTGTTTTACCTGTTTTCTCTGATTTATGCATTAACGTGGCCAAAATTACTAAAAAATTAAACATAGAAAGAACAGAAATGTTCCTGCAGTCCAACTAGAGTTAAAAAGAATTTACTGTTTATTTGTTTTTATTGTTTTATAGATTTCCTTGTTTTGGAATAATACAGATATTAACAAGTAAAAAAAAAACAGTAATTAACATTAATTTAACAATGTTCACATCAAAAGTCTGAATTTTAAAGTTTTTGCTCGTTTTCTACCGTTTACTGTAAATTAAGACTTTTTTCTGTATTTTTGCTAAAGATTATCTGTAATTTAACAAAACAGAGAAAATATTTAAAATAAAAAATAATATTTATCATTTTTAAAGGGTAAAAATTCAGATTTTTGTTGTGGACAATATTCACAGTTTGTCATGTTTTAATGTTTTACCAGATAAATAAAGACTTTTCTGTGATTCTACATGTAATAAAACTCAAATAACTGTCAAATATATGTCTATATATATATATATATAGTTGACATGTATGTTTACCATACACCTTAACAAACATAATTTTTCTTTCAAACAACAGAAAATTATTGTAAAATTATGATTTTTGGCAGATTGAAGTAAAAATATTGTAAATTTATGGTCAAACACCACATTAGTGAAAATAAACAGATTTTTTAAATCAAGGTTTTGACCTTTTTTAATGTTTAACATGTAAATTAATACTTTTTTGTGAAATTTTAGAGGATATTTGTGATTTAACAAAACGGGTAAAATCTGTAAAATAGCAGCTAAAACATATAGATTCTAAAATAGATCACATTTAATTTTTAATAATGATGTAAAATAATATTTTTTTCCAACTTAAATGCAGTTAAACTGTTTATTTTCTGGCCACACAGCTGGACGTCAGAGGGTTGTTGTTTTCCTTTCTGGTTCTATCTGTAGATTGTAGTTATTACTTTTACTTAAACACGGTGTGAGCTTCCTGATGAACACCTGGAGCCTCTGACCTCCTGCTGCTCCTCTCTGGGCTCAGAACCAGCCCCAGAACCAGCCCCTGAGCCTCCAGGTGAAGCTGCTGCTGCTGGAGGTGCGTTCAGGGCCTCGGACACCTCCGACTCTCTGCCTTCCTGTAAACTGCGTCAACAACAGACTGTGCGTAATGTCAGCGCGCGTCCAGACACGAAAAGACGAGTCCGCCTGTGGAATGTGAACACGCGCACATACACACACGGACACACACACACACACACACACGGACACACAACTCACGGTGGCGGAGGTCAGGCTGCTGTCGGTGAGCGTCAGGTGGTGCGGCTCCCATCTCCGCAGGAACTTGGAGGTGAGGATCTTGCTGAGGAAGGTGCGCGGGTGCTTGACCACGCACACCTGGATGTCGCCCTCGTGCAGCAGCTTGTAGCGCATCCCGCTGCTGCTGCAGTGGTGCAGGCTCCTCTTGCACGGCCCCGCGCCCAGCTTCGTGTTGTTGTTGCCCTCCGACATCTCCCCCAGCAGCGGCTTGCTCTCCTCGCACTGATAGAACTGGTTGTTGTGCAGCTCGTTGCCGCCGCCGCCGCCGCCGCCGCTGCCGCCGTTAAAATCCATGTTCGCGTAATCCAACAGTTTCTTGTTTCCAAAGCTCACGGAGCGGAGCGAGAACAATCCCACATGTATGTCAAAACAAGAAGGAAGGAAAAGAAAAAAAAACAGCCCAGAAAGGTCGAGCTGGAGGGGGGCAGCTACCTACCTACCTACCTACCCTCCTACCCTCCTACCAGGCGACACGACCTCGCCTGGACGCGCCGCCGAGCTGCGTCTTAATAATCCAGCCGAGACGCGCTGTCGGTGCCACGCTGAGAATAATCCTCCATTTTCCCCGTGAATTGTCTCCTCGGTGCGCCTTCCTTCTCCTTCTCCTCCGCCTCCTCCCCCCCTCCTCCACCTCCACCACCACCAGCACCACCGCCGCCGCCGACGAGCTACTCAATATGTTAGGGCCATGGCCTGATCCGCTCCGTCCGCCGCGGCGCCAAAACGCAGTGAATCCACAGCCGGAGCCGCCGGGAACCGCCACGAACACCGGCTAGAGATCCAGCGGCGGCGGCTGTCGACTCCTCCGCGGGGTTTTTTGCGGTCGTTACAGGCGCTCTGGCACGGCTTCCTTTTATTCAGTCTTTCCCCCCGTCTCGGTGTGAAGGAGCCAGAGCTCTCCGGCAGCGGCGCGCCGATTGGTCCCTGCTCGTTCATGTGATACCGGACTGACGTCAATAGGGAGGCGAGCGGATGAGCCGTGTGTCTTTTGCGCTTGAGTGTCTGCCGAGGGCGC